TTACTGGCACACGTGTATATATGCTATTTTAATAGGAATTCATTTCTAATTACTAATACGGTGTTAAAAATTTGTTAGATACCATTACACTTTATTGATTAGACAAGTATGCATTTTTGAATATATCTTTTTATTACCTATTTTGGGCTAACCAACTTTAGTTGGGGTATGTTCTAATGCAATAGTAATATACTTCAATCTGGTATATAAAAAACTACTTAATAATAGTAGCTGTAACCATACTTTTAAAATATCGTTATTAATTTTCTTTTTATAAAATAAGCCACGTACTTTTATAGGTACATTATATTCATGTAACTTTCAAACTTTTGTTAATTTTTGACAAAACATTCAAAATTTGCATAGCCGATTTGGTACAAATGCAACATTTGATAATAGTAGCTTTAATGCAATTTTATTTTTTGAATTTTATTATTACCTTTGAATTTTATTATTTTGAATTTTATTATTACCTTTCATTTTTGCAGAATACCATGTATTTTGGAACACAATGTATATGTGAATTTCAAACTTTTGTTAATTTTTGATAAAATATTCAAAATTTGAATAACCGATTTGGTATAAATGCAACATTTGACAATGGTAGCTTTTATGCAACTTTACTTTTTGAATTCTATTATTAACCTTTCATTTTTACAGAAGAGCCTCATACTTCAGCACAGCCTGTACATGTGATTTTTAGATTTTTGATAATTTTTGATAAGATATTCGAAATTTGCATTGTCAATTTAGTGGATAGAATTTTTTAAAAAGTTTGCATCTTTTTTCTCTTTGTAGTTATTAATTTTGATCACTTTTTCATGTTTCTGGCCCACTGTGGAAAGGAGCGATAGAAAAGCCGTAAAATTAACTTTCTATTTTGGGTTTAAATTCTATCAAAATTAATAGAGGTACAGCAAAAAAAAAAGTTCCTTTAAATGTGTAAGACCTTTACGTTAAACTTACAAAAGAGTTCTTGACAAATATTAATTTTATTTTTATTCCAAATCAATTAAAAACATTTAATGTCATAAAAAGGACATGTCACGGAAGGGCAAAAAGTACACATTAATGAGGCTATCATATAATTCTTTTTTAAGCAAACAAAAACAAAATTTTCATAGACTTTTTTCATCATTATCAATATTTTTGAATTTCTCCTTCAGTTTCTCTATTATTTTTTCCCCATGCTAATGAATGAAAACATCTGATGATTTTTTAAAGGTGCTGTTTAAATATAAGTTAACTGAATTTTGATTTAACCTTCTAACATGGTGAACCTTTAAAGTTCCTTGAGTATAAAAGCTATCATTTAATTTGGTGACTCAATATCTTTTGTGTCTAAGTAGATTACTGTAATGTCACATAGCCGATTAGCTACTTCAAAAAACTGTTTAGCATTTTCAATTACAACTTTAGATGACAAAATTTCCTTGTAAACTTGGTTATTAATAGTTCCACCAACTCCATCATGAGTTCCTTTAAAGTGATGTGCCTCACCATAATTCCAAGTCAATGTAGTATTTTTAATTTAGGAAGAGAAGGACCGAAAGACAAATTGATATCGGAACTGACCAGCACATCCGTCACTCCAGAAATGGAAAGTGAAAACTGATGAAGCTATACCCTTGATGATGCTTATAAGCCAGTTGTTTTTTGTAAATGCAACATCGTGATCATGTTTCGTTTCATTTGACATCATTGCGACTGGAAACTTTACCAAATTAAAATTATTATCAAGTTTACCATTCTGGAAGTGATGGAAGTAACAAGCTGGTAAAATGTTCATGCCCAAAATAAGCACTCTGGATCTCATGGAGTTTTTTGTTTTTGTAGTTCTTGGAAAATCTTCTTTGAGATTTGCCTTTAACCATTTTAACTCTTTAACAGAAAACTGACAGTAAATATTATACTTATGCATTTATGCTGCCATCAACCATTTCTGATAAACGCATTGCAGCTTCTTCACCAGTAGTTTTTTCTTTAACTTTGCAAACAACCTTTTTTGAGGTTATCCAACGGTAATATGGAAAAACATCAATTTTTTTAAATACTTGACACAAATCAGATATTATGGTTCTTCCAGGACATTTTAAACAAATGCCTTTCATGCATATAAGTGACTTGACAGAGCATACACCAAGTTCCACAAGATCTAGTGGTTCAGCTGGCAGATTTTCAACAATTTCATTTTTTTTTCTTTGATAAAATATTTTTTTTATTGCCTGTAGCAAAAGATGACCATTTTCTTAAGTTTCACATTGACAATCCTCTTCTGGTGTTTTACTTAGCATAATCAGGTTATTTTCAGCATAAATAACTTCTCGTAACTGATGATAAGATATTTTACCGTAATTCTCTTTATTAAATAAGTAAACAAGTTCTCTGTAAGTATAAAGCATGTAATGTTTTGAACTTCAATACCATTAGATTTTCCACAGTAAATAGTATCTTTTCTGCCAGGGGAATAATAGCTTATATTTAGTTGTTCTAAAAAAAGAACTACTTTTTCTTTGTTTACCTGTATCATTGATGGCCTTTTAATTTTAAAAGATAGCTTTCTTCTGAATTTAAAAAAAAATTGTTTTTGTTTTTGTTTTTGATGATAAACTTTGCACAAGAGCAAATAAAACTTTAACTTGAAGTGGACTTTTTTTTGGCATAGCTCGTTTTAATTTTGCTAATGAACGATATACTACTTGATTAGTTGTTCCATCTTTGTGTACTGTTTCCATCTGAAAATAAGATAATTCTTATCCAAAGAAAAAAAATAAGTAAACTAAAACATATTAATAAAATACATACGAAATTATAAAAAATCATATAAATAACATTCAAAAATCAAAATAAATGGCATAGTTTTACAACAAAAGCAATAACATTTGGAATTACGAAAAGTACTAATTACATATAAAATAATATCTTAATATTTTTACCTGTTTCTTTTTTAAAGCTCTTTCCAATTTTTTTCTTTCTTTGTCTTTTTTCAACTTAGACTCATATTCTTTAGTGTTTTGCTTTAAAGGTTCTAACTTTGCCTTTCTTCGCTCTCTTTCTTTTTTAAGATATTTCTCATAAATAGTTTTCTTCAGTCTAGATAAATATTCTTTCTGCCTTTGTTAACCAGGCTTTCCCATTCATTTTTTTTGTCACGGAAAGAAAACCATGATTTCCTTCCGTGATAATGAATGTGTATCCTTCCGTGACAGTTGATTATTTCTTGAATAAGTTTATTTTATACTTGTGTAACTATATTTTATGATAGGATTTTTTGTTCCTTTTTGCTTTCAGACTATAACTAATTTGAAAAAAAATATAGGAAAGCTTGGTTAACAAAGGCAGAATGAATATTTATAAATATT